TCTGACACCTTTCAATTTTATCTATGGCGCTCAATTAAGGCTCGTCGCATATTGACGCATGGTCGAAGCGAAGCGAAGCATCGTATTTTATTGTTTAATTATATTAGGTAAAATAATTAAACCGAAATAATTTACCTCTATTAGTCCCAAAATAAGTAGAGATTACACTATCGATATTAGACAGTTGATAAAAATATTTGAATGTATGTGTTTTTGTAAATAAATACACAATATTGTAAATAAGTATGTTGAAAAACATCGAAAACTTTACATACAGATATGCTCATGAATACAAAGATTTGTATTGTATGTGGATCGCAATTACGACAATCGGAAGTAAGGTATAGTGTTGAGACCTCTAGATATCCGAGGCCATCAAGTTCATTAGGTAAATAAATTTGACCTCTATCTCCATTAAAAAGAGTACAAATTTGTATTATATAAAACTGTTCAATTCTTAGTGATAATCGACATCAGTCCTAATATTTGCATTAGAAAATTTATTAATCTTATAAACGCGAAAGTTTGTGAGTATGGATAGATGTTTGTTGCTCTTTCACGCAAAAACTACTGAACGGATTTTGATGAAACTTTACAGTATATAGCTTACATATCAAAATAACATATAGGCTATAAATTTCATGCGGGCGCAGCTTCTTCGCGGGCATAATTTCTTTAATTCAATTATTAATGGAAGGCACAATATAATTGAAAAATGTTAAAATCTAAAAACATTACGCGGTGCTTCGCTTCGATTCTGTTTCAATGTGAGTCGATCCTAATATGTCCATTAAGAACATTTTCTACTCGTACTTACCAAAGTTGACTAATAAAAGACATAATCGTGTTTTATGTTATTGCATAATTATATTATATAATCGCGAATTATAACGACAAATTGCTACAATACTTTTTTTTAGAGTTCGAGTGAAATTTCTTTTCATAATAATTGCATGTTTATATAGTATACTAGTTGTAACGGAAGTAAATAACGCGATGACTACGAACAGGGATGAATGGAAGAGAAAAACATATTACGCCGACCCCAAATAAATGGGATAAGGAAGAAGCAGATGATGATGATGATACTAGTTGTAACGCCCGAACTCGTTCGCATGGAATGAAATTAAATAGATAGCAACTATATTTCAACATAACTTTGTTTAAGTAAAATAAATTTCAAAATAATAATAGCCTACTCCTCATAACGTTAGCTATATGCGAGTGAAAGTCCCGTCGGAACCTGTGTAGCCGTTTTAGAAATTACCAAAAATAGACATACAGACAAATAAAATAATATATTTCTTTTTTTTATATATGTACTTTGTATACTTTTATATTCATTTAGTGATAAACTATTAACTTAAAATTACAAATAGACACTTTCATTTTATTTATATGTTTATATCTAGAAGTATATATATATATATACAGAATGATATCTTTCTTTTTTTTTTAGAAATGCAGACAAAGTCGTGGGAAACTGCTAGTGTATATTGAAATCAGAACCGAAGTTTAAAGCAATCATTCACATAGCAATTATCATACATATATGTATATATGTACAGTTATGTACGTAATTTTTTATAACTATTTTAACCTTACCATTTAGTCGTTTTTACTATTTTAAATGGTTGCTTCAGTTAAGAAGAACTGGCATGAAAATTAATAGATGTGTTTTTTTTTATTAAAATATCGTGATTATATATTGATAGATATATTATTATGTTGCTTAAATATAGGTATTACATATATATTATATTGTTTGTTGTAATATGCATGCAGGAAGTAGAGTTCGTTTCATGTTTACAAATAATTATACCTAATGATAATTATTTAATATTTTCTACGTATCAGTTAGTAATATTAAATTAAATTAAAATTGTACTTAAAATACAAGAAAATAAGCATCTGTTTCTAGAACAAAATATGTTTTTATATCAATAATAATAAAAAGAAAATATCCCTGGACAATTCACACAGTGCCATCTAGTCCCAAGTGACTAGACAACTGATGTAAATACATTATATTTACATACATAATATACATAGAAAACACCCAGACCGATACAATCAATTATACTCATGAATACAAATATTTGTACCGTGCGATGAATCAAACCTGCGACCATCGGAGGTAAAGCGGTGAGCTAAACCGCTAGACCACCGGAGCCGTCGAGGAAATAAAAACAACTACAGATATAGTTATTTTCAAACTTTCGTGTTTAACCCATTACTTCCCAAGCATCGATTTAATAGGATTAAGGTCTTAATACATTAAAAAAAAAGTTATAATATGTATTAAAATGACGTAAATATGTATTACTACCAAAAAACATATTTTAATACAAAAATAATTTTAAAATACAAATTTTATTAGTAGCTATAGTATAAATACATAGTTTGTTGAAAAAAAAATTAAATGTAGTGTCCTAAAAATAGGCCAGCGGGAAGGAATGGGTTAATATACATTATTTAAATTATTAACCGGGTCTACTGATCGCCACTATTACCCACAAATGGTCCGGAAGGCGATTGAAATTAAAAAACATCCCAATTTCAACAGAGAGGATGGCCTAAAATTATCATAAATAAATTCAAGCAAAGTTCTGTAACATCAACAGTCGATAAGTGTACGGATACCGTGAGTGCTGTGTGTCGCGAACTTTCGTTGAACAATCTTGTGACGGTAGATGAAAAAACTGCTGTCACCTATCTACATTGACATCGCTGTTACTCCAGTCAGCTCGTGACCACGGCTAGTGCAACCTAGTCGAAACGTCGAGAGAGGTAAATACTTTTAGTTGCCATAAAATTATTCGTGTTAAGAAACGATTAATAATTTAAATCTTTCTTTTTCTTCTTTCAGCATATATTTGTCCACTGCTGGACGTATGCCTCTTGCATAATTTTCCACTTCAGTCGTCGGTCCTGCCGTCTTCCTGATATCATCAGACCATCTGGCAGTTGGTCTGCCTACGCTTCTGCTTCCCGTCCTAGGTCGCCACATTAAGGATCTGTATGTCCATCTGTTGTCTTTGCTTCGGCATACCTGACCAGCCCAACGCCACTTTAGCTGCGCGATTCTTTGGATGATGTCGATAATAATTTAAATAAACTACAGATATAATATTCGTATTCAGAACGGCTACAAGATTTTTACATATGAGATTTTTTGTCACAGTTACAATTTTCTCATCAAAATAATGTCTACATATAAGAAAATCATTCTAACATCATTACCTCGTAATTACTATATAATTATCACCATTAATTAGGCTTCAAGCCTAAATCCTTATATGTACACCATGCTGTATATGGAGGAAATCCATGAGAAATATTAGAGATGTGCTAACTAGTAATAAACATGACTCGTGTTAAATCGAGTTAAAATTCAGGTACCTCGAGTTAACTCGAGTTGACTCATTTACCTGGAATAAAAAGTTATTTTTATTTTTTCCAACAATTCTAATGTTTTTGGGCGTAGCTAGACTTGAAAGCTTCACCGAACTTTAGGGGGCGTGTAGAAATGGCACTTTATAGCCGGGAAGGACTAATGGAATGCATAATCATTTTATTAATAACATAATCGGACGAATATGCGAAAAAAAAATTATAACAACCAAACTCAAATCAATATTGAAATATTTGTGACGAGTGAAAATTGTATGATATGAAATGATCGGAAAATTTCATGTCATTGTCAGTTCGATGACAGAATCATGTTCTCACTTGATTCATTCATTTACCAATTGAATTCTTCCAACTCGAGTTGGCAGAATTCAACTCGAGTTAACTCGAGTTGACTAATCTCTAAGAAATACTCGCTACTTTCTGGAGATTTGAAGGAAAGGAAAACTTAGTCATATTGCGTTTCTACGAATAAGATCATAGTTAGCGGAATTTGGTAGGTACAAAATATTCCTATAGACTAATACTAAACGAATGATATCATTCGAAATCTACATTTATTATATTTTTTTTATCCTGTGGTAAATTTTTCAAAAGACCGTCCCCCCCGTCAGAGGGGTGACGCCCCTCGTCACCCCTCTATGTTTATTCTTACCCACTAAAAAACCACACGGTGTATTAGGGAGCGCCATGGCCGGAGTCGCGTTAGCACTTAGCACGTAGATGGTGCAGGGCAGGCCCCATCTCGTTGTTAGGGCGACCTATCTCCGGAAGCATGTGCACGCGCACGTCTCCGAGGTCATTTATTTGAGGCGCTGCCTCTTTCGAGGCCACTGGCTCCAACATTTATTATATTTACAATTTTCTTATTCCTTTAAATTATCTGGCAGATAAGTTATTTTACAAAATATACTGAAACATAAAATATTACGCTATCTATACATGGAGCAAATATGAAGTTATATAAGCTATATCAATAAATCAAATACTAAATTTTAATTAAAAAAACACAATACAGCAGTAAAAACTAATTCCAAAAAAAAGAAATGTTTGGTGATAGTTAGAATGTCTGTCTGTTTGCGTGCGCAATTATCTGAAACAGCTTAACCATATTGAAATTCATGAGTAAGTAGGTACATAATCTACATTAAAAAAAAAACTGACATTATATGTTGGTTGCAATGTAATTTCCTTTACTCACAAGATTAACAAAAAAAAAAATATGCATGTCAAAATGACATAATACTTATCCACTCTGATCTTAATCCATTCACGCGACACTGAGAACAAAATATTTTTGATTTCAACACAATATGGTTTACATAGATTAAATTTTGCATAGATACATTTGGAAGGCTTTGTTCTCATATGCAAGTCCATGTCAATGAAAACAACATTTTTTTGTGTGATTTTGCCTTTACAATTTTAAAACTATTTGATGTTACATAGATGAGGTAGATAAACTCTCATGAGGCTAGTGCGGACTTCAAGCGTTAAATGCTCTGTGATTTATAGTGTGAATTTACTCTGTGCATTGATCAATAATAAATTACCAATTAGTGCTATTGTACATTTAATAAAACGTGGTAATGTCTAAAAAAGTGGACCAAGCTAAAAGCGCGCTAGTCTTCGAAATAGATCCAACAGAATGTCCCTTCAGAGAGTTCCGAGATAACGAGCTCCAATCGGAATTCTGGGGACTGGTATGTACTACATTAGCTCTTTAATGCATTTATAAACAGTCTATATACACGTATACGAAATATATATTTGGTATTCTAAATAGAATAGAATAGAAAATGATTTATTCAAATAAACTTACATTGATAGACTTTTGAATAGTCATCAATTTTTTAATCTACCGCTCATTCGGAAAGCTGTCCTATCACAAGAAGAATGCGAAAGAAACTTGCGAGTTGCTCTTTTAAATAATATAAAAGAGTCATACTCGTGAACGGGTGCTGCTTGTGAGGACTGGTCTGTTTGGGTTGTGAACAATGATTGGACTATTTGCGTTTGCAATAGCATATGCTGATGGTCGCTCTATTCTCCCAAGTTTGAGTTTAAAAAATAATCTGCATTATTGTAAACATGTATAATATTAATTTGAAAAGAATACGAGCTGACTTTCTTGTCAGTTCTTCTCATCTCGAAATCATTCCGAACTCACAGTAGATTTGAAATATCATAAGAGTCTGTAATAGACCTACATGAATAAAGATATTTTGAATGTTTGTAATACAATTTAAAATTTTAATAGCCGTGACTGCAAAATGTTAGTTAGAGACATCTGGAAACGCGAATACTTTTGACTAGCTGTGTAACACAAATTACGCTATTTAACAAATCTATACTGACTAGGGTCCAGCGGCTTTTCGTGCTGCTATGCTTCTAAACAAGACCGCTGTAAAGCCACCAGCAGACCACATCTGGGTGGATGAGCAAACTCAGCCCCTCCCCAGGTCTGTGCGACGGTATCTTCACAGTTGGGTGCGAGCTGAAGACCTGGCGATGAACAGATGGGGGGCGGAAACTGTGGTCTTTGAGGTTTGACTTTAATTTAACGTATTTAGGTTTCTTAACGTCCCGCTTCTACCATTACCTTCCGAACTTGGTTTCGCCAGAGATGAAACAAGATATGAACACACATATGAAATCATCATTTCCATCAAATTAATAATAAATTACATCTATTTAATACTAGCTGTACCCGCGACTTCGTCCACGTAAAATAGTGACCTTGACCAAATAATGAAAGAAAATTACAATATGTCTGATTATAGCCATAAGGCTGATGGCAGATGGAAAGAGAAAAGGGAAAAAAAGTCATTTGCATCTTCTGCTTCTTCCGTATCCTATTCATTTGGGGCGGCGTAATATGTTTTTCTCTTCCATTCATCCCTGTACGTAGTCGTCCCGTTATTTACTTCCTTTCTTACCATATCAACTTTCACACAGTCTATCCATCTCTTTCTCGGCCTTCCTCTGCCCTTATAACTACCCACATTCATATGTAACTGTCCTTAAAATATTATCTTCATTACGTATTACATTCCACGACAATAAAATATGTTTTTATACAATGAATACATGAAAATACTAGCTGTTAATGTTATTCTAATGTTTAAGTTTGTTAAGTGTTATTACTTAAAAGTCTCATCAAAATCCGTTCAGTAATTTTTGCGTGTAACATCCATCCATCCATACTCACAAAATTTCGCGTTTATAACATTACTAGCTACTCACCCCGGCATCGCCCGGGTCTACATGTATAATATGTATAAAGGCTCTAGAATCAAACGATTTAATAAAAAAAAAACCGCTTCAAAATCCGTTGCGTAGTTTTAAATTGACACACCGACAGCGACTTTGTTTTATACTATGTAATGATGATGACGTGATGTCCATGATGCTGTTCATGTATATAGACGAAGACCACATAGCATCAGGTCTGGCTAGAGCTTGTTAGGTAAATTGTTGTTCTTAGGACAATGATGGAGGGAAGATGTCAATCGCGGATATTCAGCTGAGTCATCCTCAAGTTCTGCTCAGATCCTCATTCTGCAGACGAGTGTTATCCGCGTGTTTTATATTGGAAAGAGTGGACGGGTTTGTGGTAAGTCATGAAACATTTATCAAATAACTTCATGAGTCATATTTTTATTATACAATACCCATATAACCCATATAAATAACTAGTTGTTCCCGCAACTTCGTCCGCGTGGAATTTAACTTTATTTTTCTAAAATAAAAGTAGCCTAAAGAGCAAAAATTGTTTTGTTCGTCTTAATTTATTCGTTCTAATAGGTACTGATAGGTTCAAACTAATACATTTACATCCTGCATCATCCCTTATTTTATCCCCTTGGGGGTTGAATTTATCAAAATCCTAATTAAGCGAACGTTTTCATCATAGTAGCTCCAATTTTTTATTTCAGTTCAATCAGTCGATAATCTAAGAATATTTATACAAACTTTCATCCCCTATTTTATCCCCTTAGGTGTTGAATTTATCAAAATCCTTTCTTAGGAAATGCCTAAGTCATAGTAACTTTATGCATGCAAAGTCTCAGCCCGATCGGTTTAAAATTGGCAAAGTTTCATATAAAATTTCATCCCTTCATCTTTTATCCCCTTGAGGCTATAATTATTCAAAATCCTTTCTTAGCGGATGCCTACGTCATAACATCTACCTGCATGCCAAATTTCAGTCCGATCCGTCTAGTGGTTTGGGCTGTGCGTTGATAGATCACTATGTCAGTCACCTTTGAGTTATATATATTTAGATAAAAAGGTAGCGAATCGAAAATAGTTTAATTATATATGTATTTATAACGCTTTCTTGCACTAACATAGAATGAACATGTGCAGAATTGAAACAATAAAAATATATGGTATTCTGGATTGGTAGCGTATTAGAGATACCACGGCCAACAGATTATCATCTGTCTTATCATAGTTAGTAGTGGTAACGGTAACGTGTGTGAAGTACACGTTATCAGATTATCATCTGGTGGCTACCATTATCAGGTGGGATTTTATTTAATGGATGATAATGGAATGGAATACCCGCCTGCGCTAACGGATCACGCTGGTGGGGCACCAGTGGAGCATGATAAGATGAGCATGAGGTCAAGTCAATTAGGCCATCGTGACAAATTCACTAAGGATTTATCACGATGGTTTAGAGGGACAACCGCGCGAAGGTCAAACTGACACGGTGACTGACATTGCTAGCAATAAAATCATCAGTCAACATTACTAACAATCCCCTTTCTCCCCTCAGGTGGGATGTTTGTTTATTTATCATTGCCAATACATGAATATGCAACATTATATACAAGAAGCTCAACTTCAAACACGGATTATTTCCTATAAATTATATAAATTGTTATTATTACATTTAATTTTAATTTTGGACATACTTATTATTACTTAATTTTGGACATTTAACAATATAAATAATTATGACATTCGTTGTTAACATTTAACAAGTTATATTAACATGAATTTAAATTTGCATGCTCAAAATGCAGCTGAATATGGAACTGCAAATTAATTTGTAAGAACAATGTAACCTATTCAAAGCAAATAAATAAATAAATAAATATATATGTACTTTGTTCTGACTGACTAGTATGTGATCCTAATGAGTGGTAGAATAAAAAAATATGATTTCTCGATTCCAGGTGGAACACCAATGGGAGAACTTCGTTTTCAACGTGGGACCTGAAGGTTGGAGGGGCAGGTATCATATCTACGCACCAGGTACAAAACCTGGCGGTGGATCGCAGCATAGACCTGGATTATCCAGAAATGGTTAGTGCTTTACTTCTCATTACTTTTAGGTATATAAGTATATAATAATATTATATAATAATAATAATAATAATGTAGAACAATCCACATAGCGACTTGCAGCCACAGACTAAACATAGTTTGTGTAATATAAATAATTCGTTTTTAAATACATTTTTGACGGCCTCACTGGTCCAGCGATGTAACACCGGGTTCGATTCCGCGCACAGCATAAACATTTGTATTCATGAGTATTATTGATTGTATGATACATATACATAGATATTTTTTTTCGTAAATACATACATATTAAACATTGAAAACACCCAGACTGATACAAACAATCATACTCTGAATGAATACAACTGTTTGTGCCGTGCGAAGAATCGAACCCGCTACCATCGGAAGTAAGGCCGTGTGCTAAACCGCTAGACCACCGAGGCCATCAATTCTAGTAAATAAAAAAAATTACAGGTTGTTATCTCGTTCGTCTTTTCTACCTCGGAGCGTGGAGATGCGTCTGGGTCAGTGATCAAGTACCCGTGGATGCAACTGACTCCCCTCTACTTCCTTTCTCCCCTCTACTGAGCCACACCCCTACAGCTAAGCCAGGGTTGAAACAAGCTCCCACTACTGTCACCTCACCTGTGGTACATTTATGGCCATTATTGCTTTGCAAGGTAAGTTGTTACAACCCTAGCATTCTTTTGATACTACAGTGATGGGTGGACAAGCATATGGTATTCACCAGACGTAATAAATAATTATAACCCTGGACAATTTACACAGGGCCATCTACTCCCATTTTTTTTTCAAAGAATAATCTCTTAATAAATAATCTCAGGACAACTTACATAGCGCCAACTAGTCCCTTACTTAGCAGAGCTTGTGTTGTGGGTACTAAACAACTAATGTAGATACATTTTTTTGGAAATCCATTCATAATATAGTATATATAATATTCATGTTGACGACCTCGGTGGTCTAGCGGTCTAGCACACCGCTTTACGATCGATGGTCGCGGGTTCGATTCCTCGCACGGCACAAACATTTGTATTTATGAGTATGATTGTTTGTATCGGTCTGGGTGTTTTCTACGTATAATATGTATGTATTTACGAAAAAAAAACCATATATTTGTATCAGTTGTCTAGTACCCATAACACAAGCATTAGCTAGCATAACTTGGGTCTAGATGGTGCTGTGTGAATTGTCCTGAGCTTATATTATTATATTATAACACCCAGACGGACAAACAATCCTGCTTATATTATTAATTATATAATATACATTGTCTGAGCGAGGAATCGAACCCGCCGGAAGTAAAGCAGTAAACTGAATCGCTATACCACCGAGATCGTCAATTTTATATTACAATTTCTTAAACGAACTAGTCGTTTAAGAATTGATTTTGTTTTCAAATCAAATAATTTGTTTTATCGATTGAATCTACACAAAGCTTTTTAAAAAGCGATAGATAAAGATGAAGATGAAAGATTCTGTTTTATTTATACAATTTGCCAATCTATTGTACACTTTTATAGTACCTAACATAAACATTCTAGACCAGTGTTTCCCAATATGGGGCCCATGCCCCACAGAGTAATTTAATTGTTTAGACGAACAATTTGAAAATTGGACTCTTTATCAAAACAATATAGAATGTGAACTTCATTTTTTCATTATATGTTTTGAAGATTTACTTACTGTTTCATTAACAAGTTTCTTAAGTGAATAATTCAATTTTCTATGTTATAAATTATGTATATGAGCATGGTATTGAAAAGGATGGGAAACACTGTTCTAGAGAAGAAATTGTTGAGACTAAATAGGTTGGGAATCACTGTTTTAGAGAAGAAATTAATTTTATTTTTCTATTGAATATACACAAAACTCCTTAAAAATGACAAGGTGGAGCATGGTATTATATTAAAAGGATGGGAAACGATGTTTTAGAGAAGAGATTTTGTTTTGCGTTTAAATCTACACAAAACTCCTTAAAAATGACAGTGACTGAGTATTTTAGAAAAACCAAAGTGGGCCACGCCTTAAAATAATTGGGAAATACTGTTCTAGAGGAGAAATTAATTTCGTTTTTCGATTGAATCTACACAAAACTCCTGAAAAATGACTGAGAATTTTAGAAAGGCCAAGGTGGGGCCATGGACATGGTTCTAAAAGGATGGGAATCACTGTTATTTATCTATGCAGAAACTCTTTAAAAAGTGATAAGAACCGAGAGATACTATGGTTTAGAGATACCAAGTTTTATTTATACAATTTGCCAATCTATTGTGTAATTTTATAGTAACATAAACACAGAGGGATTACGATGCCTAATTGTTGTTTATTGTGAAATAAATTGAAGATTTCCTCCTCGTTACCAAGGGGCTTAAACAAAATTGAGTTTTGCGGTCGTGCGGAATTCTTAAACTGTGTACACTCGTAAATTACCAATAACTATGGAAGTAATTTTATCATAACAGTACACTCGGGTTCTTTTTAATACCTTAATGAAATGATAAAGTTACCAGCTGATCCCGCAAACGTTGTTTTGCCATATTAATTAAAATCGCTATTAAAAAATAGTGGTTGGTGGTAGTGAAAATTTAGGGTTGTATGTATTTTAATGCCACATCACTAGTTAGTATAAAACAAAGTCGATGTCGCTGTCTGTCCGTCCCTATGAATGCTTAAATCTTTAAAAGTACGCAACGGATTTTGAAGTGGTATTTTTTAATAAATAGAGTGTGTTGGAAACTATTTTATATACCTTTTTTAGTGTCTATATTTTTATAAATATTATATTGTTTTTATATAACATAAGTCAATTTAATACAAAAAATATTCTACAACTACAACGGTGCCGTTTTACTTTTTGCTCGTCATCTTGATCTCCATCCTTCACAGAGTGATTCAAGAGGAAGGTTTATATATATAATACATGTACACCCGTGCAAAGCCGAGGCGCGTAGCTAGTTATAAATAAATTGTTCAAAAAGTAAAAAAAATAAATTGTGGTGGACAACCTTTATCACTTAGGAATATAAAAATATAGAGAGTAGCTGATTCTCAGACCTACTGAATACGTTTCGGAGTAGTATATAAATATATATATATATATATCACATTTATAATATTAGTAAGATGATATCTTAGCTACTAATATCATAAATGCGAAAGTTTGAGAGTATGGATAATCGATGGATGGATCGATGTTTGTTATTCTTTCACGCAAAAATTACTGAACGATTTTTGATGAATGTAAAAATTTGACGTTCATAAGCGGCCAAAATGTCCTACATGAATAAATGATTTTTGAATTTGAATTTGATTAAACTATACAGTATATTATACTATACAGAGTTACCACTTTAAAGTAATTTGTACAAAGTATATCTCTATAAATAATAGGTATTTATGTTACTATTACCACAGATAACATAATATTACATACTATTACGTATTTTTTCGCGTTTACAGGGTTAGTATTTACTTTATTAGATATAACAGTCATTAGATAACGTAATGGATACTTTCCAGGCCATTATAAGCTTTATATGCTAATAATTTTAAGTATGTAATAAATAAAATCACATAAATTTAATATCTCTTAAACAAACACCAAGAGATATCTCATAGCAATTCTTATCACGGCAGTGCTTAATTGCTAATCAAAATTTAACAGGCGCTACTCAAGTTGGCTGCTCCTGATATGAATTCGGATGATACCGTCGACTACTTAGAGGACGAGCTATTCAAGGAATTCAACATCATGCACTGTCTAACTGGGGCGATGGACATGACCTACCACATTACTGGTAATATTGTGATTTGCTTGTAAATATAGAAATAATCTTTATTCAAATAAACTTAGTATAAGCACTTTTGAATAGTTACATTTTTTATTTTCCACTCATTCTGAACGCAGACTTATCACAAGAGGAATGAGCGAGAAAGTTGTATGTTGCTTTTTTACATAAATGTTGTTCAGGATGTAACTTTTAAGATTTTTTTCACAAAATTCTGTGACATTATTATATAAATTACTAGAGTATCAAAATAAATCAGTTATAGTTATCAGAGCAAACCAATCCCTATAAGAAAAATTACTTAGAGAATATTACTAATATCGGCGAAAGGGCCGCTTAAACCTACACCTGGGTCACAAGTCCCGGGAACTCGGAGTTTCCCTCTCTGCTACACGATGGACCTGGCACCCGTCCAGTGTATCCATGATGAAGAACTTCTTCCTTTATAAATAATAGATGCTGAAGAATTGTGGACTGTGATATGTAATGAAGTGCCGGTATTCTCCTGGGATGAAGATGACGACACCTTGACGAGTACGGTCAAATCCAAGAGTACAAAGAAACTTACAGCTAAAGAGATTGCCGTTGTTAGGGTGAGTTAATTATACATATAAATAAAAATGGAGTCTCTGTTTGTAATATTGAAATAACCGTTTTTTACTACATGCATATGAATACAAATACGGTACATACACCAAAATAACATTTTTTACAACTTTTGTCTGTCTGTCTGTCTGTTTGTTCCGGCTAATCTCTGAAATGGCTGAACGGGTTTTGACGGGTTTTTTTGGCTAGTTGATGTAATAAGGAGTAATTTAGGCTACTTTTATTTTAGAAAAATTCTTTTGTTTTTGAAGAATAAAGATAATTTGCACGCGGACGAAGTCATGGGTGCAGATAGTTATAATTACGTTTGTGGATTTAATTTCATCGAATTTCGATATAAGCAGTTCACAAAACCCGTAGGCTACTTTTATTTTAGAAAAATAGAGTTACATTCCACGCGGACGAAGTCACGAGTACAGCTAGTGTAGTACAGCATTGGTTCCCAATTAGTTTTTACTGTGTACCACTTCAAAAAAGACCTCAAACCTTGCGTACCCCTTATTGCAGCAATCACACTTATATTATAAATGTGAAAGAATAGAATAGAATAGAAAATCATTTATTCAAATAAACTTAATTTAAGCACTTTTGAATAGTCATAACAATTTGTTTTTTATCTACCACTCGTTCGGTAAGCTGTCTCAGCACAAGAAGAACGAGCAAGAAACTTGTGTGTTGCTCTTTTAAATAATCATTGTTAGTTTACATTTACAAGTCGAAACGTGTGAATACAAACTACCAATAAGCACTAATTTTTTGGGTCAAATATAATCATGCAATAAGATTAAATCAGTCGTAGTGATAAGAGCAGACCATCACTCGTTCACACTAATATTATAAATGCCCATTGACCACGCCGCCACATGTCTGGACATTTTAGTGAGCATGACTACTCATCATGAAAGTTTGCGATCGTGTGTATATTTGTTTTACTGATAGCCGCACGTACCCCTTGATGCAACTTCACGTACCCCTGGGGGTACGCGGACCACTAATTGGGAAACACGGCCCTATAGTTTTAGGTTAAGACCTGTAGAAATAGTTATAAGTGTAGAAATAAATAAAGTAACAAAAGTTAGTGGGACATTAAACAACGTTCATAATTAAGAATTATTTACTGGCTGTGCACGCGTCTTCACCTGCGTGAAGTTAGCCTATATGTTATTCTGATGTATAAGCTACATTATCGTAAAGTTTCATTAAAATTTATTCAGTAGTTTTTGCGTGAAAGATTAACAAACATCCAATGACACTCACAAACTTTTGCGTTTATATGTACGTATATTGAAAGCACTAGAACTAGCTAACTCGGATAACTTCGTCTGCATCACACTTACACAATTTACATAATATCTTTTTAAACTAAAGCCTATATGTTATTTTGATATATAAGCAATATGTCTGCAAAATTTCATCAAAATCCGTTCAGTAGCTTTTGCGTCAAAGACTAATAAACATCTATCCATTCACACTCACTTAAAGAATGAAAGAACAAAAGAAGTGTCTTTTTATACTACAATGTTGGTCAATAAGCATACGGCCCACCTGATAAACGATTGTGGACGCCTGAAACACAAGTCACGTGCGCGTTGCCGCCCAGTAAGAAACCTTAATACACCCTTTTTCACGCAAAAATTACTGAACGGATTTTGATAAAACTTTACAGTAATATAGCTTATACATCAGAATAGAAGATAGGCTATAAATTTCATGTGGGTAAAACCGCGGGCACATCAAGTATTATAAACACAACTCTTACAGCGTGGATCAATGACGTCACTCATTATAGAAGATACCAAGAACTGCCCTCCGTATTCATTGCCCGGCATCACTCCTGGACATGAAATGGATCTCCTCATCACGATGGCACGAGATCTGCCCATGAAGAAACCTCTGCCTGAACCAGGTATGTAATCTTTCATTTTCACCTCACGTCGGGTCACCGCATTTTTTTATTTCAATTCAAATTCAAAATATCTTTATTCATGTAGGTCTATTACAGACTCTTATGATATGTCAAATCTACCGTCAGTTCGGAATGATTTCGAGATGAGAAGAACTAACAAGACTCAGCTCGTATAAAGAATACGAGCTGAGTCTTGTCAAATTAATATTATACATGTTTACAATAATACAGATTAATTTTTAAATTCAAACTTGGGAAAATAGAGTGACCATCAGCATATGCTATTGCAAAAGCAAATAGACTAATCAGTGTTCACAACCCAAACAGACCCCACTATATTTTTATGTAATTTATATATTCCGCAAAATAACAACTAATTCGATAAAAAAATATATATAAAAAGGGCACAACAACTCTGACTAAAAACGCATTTTTTGGTAGTGGAATTAAACAAAATAGTATTAATACACTGAGCACAGTACTTTTGTTATACATTTTTTTTATGGATGATAATGGAATGGTGCACCCGCCTACGCTAACGGTTTACGCTGGTGGGGCACCAGTGGAGGATGATAAGATGAGTATGAGGCCAGGTCTGTTAGCCCGTCGTGGTAAATTCACCAGGAACGTATCACGATGGTTTCCAGGGGGAACCGCGTGGAGGTCAACCTCATAGGGTACATTGATAGCAATGGGGTTATTAGTCCAAATCACCTTCCCTTCTTTTTTGTATATTAGAAGTGGCATCATGGAAGCAGTATCGCTGGGTGGACTGGGCTCGTCACCATGGTCTGTACGAGGCCTACGACTGTCCACGGACGAGATTCCTCAAAGTCACTGGTCTTCTCAAAATGTCCTACGCTCCCCACTTGCTTGATGTCCAAAGCACCGAGTCTGTAAGTTCATAGGAGACTCACAGCATTATCGTTAGTGCTTACCGCTTACCATCAGGCGGGCCGTCAACATGTTTTCCATTCCAATTACATAAAATAAAATCTTATATCTGATAACTTTTTGTGCGTTAGAAAAAAGTGCACATAATATTTTCCAAACTACTTTGGATTAAAATTATTCCTTCATGACTATTAATGTTTGTATCAGTCTGCGTGAGCTTTATGTATATTATGTGTGTTTAAAAAAAATTAAGTAATTATATCAGTATCCTAACCATATCACAAGCTCTGCTTACCTTGGGACTAGATGGCGCTGTGTGAATTGTCCAGGATTATTATTATTGTTTCTCTTTTTTCTCTTCTTTTATGTTATATAATAGAACGGTGAGTATTACCGGGCCTTAGCCAAGTGTAGGAGACGTTACGGCATAAGAGGATAGTATGTCATTACTAGCTGTCCCGGCAAACTTTGTTTTGCTATATACATTAAAATCGCTATTAAAAAATAGGGGTTGATGCCAGAAGGGAGAAAATTTAGGGTTATCTATGTTATATTTTTCAATTCAAATTCTAAAATCATTTATTCATGTAGGACATTTTAGCTGCTTATATATTATAGTTTTTTTTCAATTTTTTTCCCTACCGTCTAAAATATAATAAATAATATATATATATTTAGGATTGGATATCTCTTACCACTAGGTAGGGGTATAAAAAATAGATAGTAGCCGATTCTCAGACCTACTGAATATGCATATAAAATTTCATAAAAATCGATCAAGCCGTTTGGGAGGAGTATGGTAATTAACATTGTGACACGAGAATTTTATATATAAGATTTATCATTGCCTTGCCTTTATACCACAAATAAGGAGTTCTATGTGGTCGGCGCAGTACATCATCGTCTTCCACTGATCCCTATCCGCCGACATATCTGATCATACTCTCCTTTTATTCATATCTTTTACACAATCCATCCATCTTTTGATCGTCCTCTCCCTTTCTATGTTATATTATTATTATTATCGTAATTTTAAAGCGTGGATACACGTTAATAAACCTTGGAAGAAATGTTAAAGAATTGAAGAATGTAATGAAATCAAAACAAAAATTAATACAATAACATTTTAAACGTAAACAACTATATTAGTTTGTGGTTTGGTTGGCGTGTTGATAACAGGAGTGAATAATGAAAGATTTTATAAATGACGAGGTATATAATATCAGAATAATATATATAGAATAAAAATAACAATTAATAATTAACGTAACAACTTTTTAAATCAATCATTAGCAAGCGAAACTATTTGACATTTTGACAATGTAATTTAGTAAATGTATCTGTGTTATGGCTAGTTAATGCAAGGAGGTTGGTAGCCTACAAGTTTGTTGAGACTGTGCTGCAGTTATTTGGGCCCATCTACAGAGCATTATATACAATTTAAATAAAAACGAATGGAAATTAGTACTTTTTTCCTCTACTTTTTTTTCGGCTCCGGCGATTTGTGTTGCCATTAACCATAAAATTAGTACTTATAATAATAATTAGTACTAACCATAAGTTTGAACTTAGAATAGAATTAATATATAATAAAGATTAACTTGTTCTAATTATTTTAAATCATTTATTCAAATAAACTTACAGAGAGATTGAAGTTACAGATTAGTAAATCTTTCTTTGAATAGTCTTAAGAACTTAGAATAGAATAAGAATAGAAAATCATTTTTTAATCTACTTTTGAATAGCTCGTTCGGAAAGCTGTCTCATCACAAGAAGAACGAGCAAGAAACTTGCGTGTTGCTCTTTTAAATAATTTTATTATTACTTTACATTTTTAAGTTTAAGTGTGTGAATATAAACCACCAATTAGCACTAATTCAATTAAATACTCAAATAGAAAAAATATTGAATATATAACCAACTGGTTAAACAATTAATAAGAGGAAATCAGTCATAGTGATTAGAGCAGACCAGTCCCTACAAGCAGCACCCGTTCACGAGTATGATGGATGAGCCAGCCATCACTGCGCTCGACCATATTTTAGGGAGCCCAATGACCCGGCCCACCACATCGCCACAAGTCTGGACATTTTAGTGAGCATGACTACTCAAAACACTAGACTACGTCTAAACTAAGCTAAGCTACTTACAATTGCCATCTGATAGTTATAGTATTCACATTTTACATAAGAATGCATGCGGCAATCAATACAAAAACCGCTACGCTTTCATATTTCTAAAATCAATCAATTAAATCAAGAAAGCAATGAGAAAATTAAATTATAACGTTGTAATGCTTATTTTCCAATATCCAATATTAATTTATTTCTTCCAATATATAGTATATATGTAGGTTTATATATTTATCCCTAATGTAAGTATGTATACTTAGTAGTATATAATATATAGTATGAATAGTGTATTATGTGTGCCACCTACCCTATTCTATGTACATAAGTCCTCTCTTCTAGGTTGTCAGTAAGAGATTGCTTTTAGCGATAAGACCGCCTTTTGTAATTATTTTACTATTTACTGTATTTTCTGATTATTAGATATAAAGAGAATAAACAGTTTTATTATTATTATTATTTTGAGAAAGACAATCTATATAAAATAAAACAATTATTATTTATAATTTATGAGCATTAGAGCATGTCTCTCTATGTTTGTGTGTGTGTGTGTGTGTGTGTGTGTTAATTGAAGCTTTGAAAAGTAACGGTGGGTAATTAGAAATTAGTATGATGGTGGTTAATTAATAAACATGGCGTGCATTCGCATGTACATAATAGGCGAAACAATGCTTTTTGCAGTTCTACCACGTACCTGTTCTCACAGTACCTGATCTCTCAAACTTACGTACAGTGCTGCCAGATTAGAGATTTTACCTCCGAATTCGTAAAGATTTTTATTCATAGGGACGTAATATGTGGGGAGTTTTGTGGTATGGACTTACCTACAGTGTTGCCAGATTACAGAATTTACCCAAAAAATCGGGAACATTTTATATTCATGGTGACGTTATGTCTGGGGAGTTTTGTGAAATATTGAAGATGAGTGTTGTGGGAGTATTGTGTCACGTTTATGCTCGGTGGCTGAAATTGGTGTGATTGAGATAACCGTAACTTTTTTTTACTAATATAATGCAATTTCTGAAATAAAAGTACTACCTACGTTGCTCTTTATAACATTGGCTATCTGTAAAAGTTCCGTCAAAATCGAACCGGTCACTTCAGAGATAAGCAAGTTAATAATATATAAGCAATAAACAGACAATATTTAATATAAAAACAAAAACAAAAAATTTTTTTGTTAGTACCTTACGCATACTTCCATATGCGTTTAATGAAAAACTGTCCATTAGAAGTTACAAAAAAATACTTCAATTATATTTATGTATTTTACTCTATTCGGCGTACCAACGTTAATTTCCATTACTTTGACTATACCATACAAAAATTCATTCATCATAGATACAAAGTAGCTTAGGTTAATTTTTCCGATAAATAAAATTATTCTATTCTTATTGTATTGTGTTTAAATGTTTCTACGAAACAAGCCTGTCTAATGTCGAGCTTTTGTAATAGAATGTTTCATTTTGTTATAATTTCGTTTTCATTTTTTTTATAATTTCAGATTACATTTGGTTTCCGAGAAGAACAGGATAGAACTGCTGCGGTTGTTATATATATATTTATTTAATAAACAATTAATTAAAATTACAATGTGTCTAAAAAAACTGTAATAATCGGATCTTTAGAATCAAGGAAATAATATAACAATTTTATTATTTTACTTTGTTGGTAATTATTACAGTTTTTTTAGATACATTGTAATTGTAAGATCTTTAGAATCAAGGAAATAAAATAACAATTTTATTATTTTACATTCTTGGTAATTATTTGGTAATTATTACAGTTTTTTTAGTTATAGATACATTGTAATTAAAATTACAATGAAAAAAACTGTAATAATCTAATAAAAAAATAACGATTTTTTTATTTTACTTTGTTGGTTCTAAAGAACAGATTTTTTATTACATTATTTAATTAAATTAATACAATTTATTTATTATCTAACAGTGTGACAAAAACTCTGATCTTTAGAAACAAGAAATATGAATTATTTTAATATCTAAAAAAATTAATTATAACTACTTAATTTTAAAATTAAATAAAGTAGAACTAGTATTGAAATTCTAATTAAATTTAATGTAATGTTTAATTAATTTGTAGCATATTATATTTTTAACGTCATTAATCCAATTAGATAAAGAAAGGAGACGGAAAATATGTGAACCGATCTAACACGGTCAACTCTTCCATGGCGCAGCAAATCAAAGAAGAATTACGTGAATGGATACAATACAATTCGGTGAGCTTATATAAATTGATTACTCACAATTTAGCCTTTTTATGTATGACTATCTGTAAACGCGACTTCGTCCGCGTGTAATTTAACTTTATTTTTCTAAAATAAAAGTAGCCTAAGTTACCCCTTATTACATAAGCTATCTGCCAATAAAGGTCCCGTTAAAATCGGTTCAGCCATTTCAGAGATTAGCCGGAACAGACAGACAGACTAAATTGTAAAAAATGTTATTTTGTTGTATGTACCGTATTTATATTTTATTATATGCACGTAGTAAAAAACAGTTATTGCAGTATTACAAACAGGCACTCCAATTTATTGGATATGGAATATGGATTAGATGACGCTGTGTTAATTGTCCAGGTTATTTATTATTCTTTAATTTACTTAAAAAATTTGTTGTTTTCAGCTACAAGAGTTAGTGAAGGAGACCCATATACTATATTATCCTTCAATGTACCAATTCACATCCGCCGGAAGTAATCCTCTGACACGAATCACCAAAGGCAATGTCAATAAACCTCTCGATGTACCTGCCCCGAAATCAGCACCACTTTACCTTCAAATCGATGGGCCCGACGAAATAGTTCTCCGAATTTCACTGAGCATGCTCCATCCGAGGGTTTTGTTTAATTCAGGAGTGCCGATAGTGGATTATATCGAGCCGGCGTACTTGATCGTTGAGAGGTTTGAATGGTTCGTTGATTGTGAGGTTGCAAAGGCAAAAGCATTTATACAGACACGAGGATATGATTCCGTTGAAATTAGACTTCAACCGGGCAGACATTTTTGCAGGTAAGACTATTTATTGCAACAAATCTATTTGCATATTTAATTTTCTATTTATGTAAATCCAGAGGGAATGCGAGAGTAGAGGAGTAATTGTATAGGCGACTAGTGATGTTTAGTTTATTATCTAAGATTTTCTTACTAGGACAACAGATGGTATACTCAAAAGTGTTATAAACAGTAAGTTGTGAACACTTCACTATACTGTTTCAATTTGTGAAATAATTTCAATGCGGAATCCGGCCTACCACTTTTTTACGGATTTATTTAGTTTATCATCAATGTTTCCGTCAAATTTTTAAAGGAGTGATGATGGAATGACTCACTTCTGCTTTTACTGTATACTTTTGCGGAGCAACAGTGGAGGATGATTGGATGAGAATGAAGTCGGTTCATTAGCTCTAGGTGGTGGTCATCAGGAATAAACGATGATAGTTTCCAAGAAAACTGCGACTAAGTCAATCTGTAGCCATTTATTCCCATTGCTAACAATACCTATGAGTAGAAAGATTTAATCTGGATTACAACAAATAAATTGTTATGTTATGATTTATGTAACGCAACAATTTGTTTGTTGCACCCAGCTTCGAACTTAGGTTCTGAGTAGGATTGTAAATCACTAAGTGACGACCCTCTAAAATAAAGTAAAGCATCGTATCTTTTAGATTATGGGTACACTCGCGCATGAATTGGCACTTAATGCTGCTCAGTGAATCTACTTTGCTTCTTGGCTCCCGAGATATAATTCAGTGCGCTGCAGTTCGCGAATGTTCCTGGGCATCTCGATTCCTATTCAACTTGTCTACAGCGTTTACTAACTGGATTCGTGTTAATAGATCTGTTTTAAATATTTTAGGAGCTAATAGAGAATTTTACAAGTAAGTTCGTTTTATTACATTTATATTAGATTGTACTAGACATAATAAGATGAACTTATAAGTTTACCTATATCTCCCAAACAAAGTGATTTCATGCGATTTTCCTTAATTGAAACTTGAGATTGATATTAATCGTGAGTAGATTTAGATATAAATTATGAAACGTTTGCTGAAAACTAATATGTTATTTTAGATCGTATCAACCAGATCTTACATGGGATCCACAAGTCGTTGGTTATGACAAATCTCAGCTGCACTGGATGTTCAGACAGGCTCTTCAATCATTGCTCAGGAAAAGGCTACAGAATGCAGAATTCCGAGCAGTATGTATGGTGCTAAGACGATACATGTACGATCCTGACTTTGGTCTACCGCCAAAGCCGCTACCACCAAAATCCTTAAGAGAAATTGTTCAAGTTGATCCATGTGATTGTCTTATGCCCGAATCTGAAGAAATTGAAGTTATAGATGAGCAATTAGAAGAACAGGTACATTTAGGCTAATATTATTGAGTAGTAAAGTAATGATAAATAATAGTAAAGTACACAGACAGATATAAATAATAGTAGTGGTCACAGGCATTGAATTGTCGACAGAATTGTGAATACAACGCTTAATATATTTACATTTCTTTCCATATATTTTGGAATAAATTGTTTGGTTATCAATATTTCTTTCGCCTGAAAGTCAGTAAAGTAACTAAATAATATTATAAAACGAAATAGTTTGGTATATTTTTTAATAATAATCAGGTAATGGAAGAAAAACCTTTAGTTGATCCAGAAACAATGACAAAACTACTCACATCACCAGTAAATCCAGTAACTTCTCAAGTATGCGAGTTCGCTAATGAAGAACTACCATGCGGTTTATTGAAAGAAGAAAGAGAGAAGGTAATAAGACGACACGAAGCTGCAACTGTATTGCAAGCGCACTGGAGAGGAACATGGGCTAGAAAATGTCTCAGTGCACACGTGATATTCACACCTGAAGTGTTGAGAACTGTTAGTATTTGGTAATACTATATGTCGTTTACTAAGGTTAGATCTTATTATCCTCTCATCTATGAAGGAGCCAATTATTGGACTCGGACACCATAGGGACTATAGTATCTGTGAGAAGTCCTGTAATTGGTCTCACAGATGTGGCATTAATGTAATTTTGACAGCTAACAGTTGTAAGGTTAATATTACGAGACAATATGATATACAAGCAATGATATATTCAATGTATTGTTACGTTAGGATATGTGACATCATGTTCTCAGAAATGACAACTCAGTACGCGCACTACGGAGGCCAAATGATGACTACTTATTTGTTTATTTAACTTTAATGGACGCAATATCTTTTGTTATAGTGCCTTTGGTGGGCTTACCACCATGCGGCACTTATTCTATATCGATTACGATTGCGACTCTTTCCCTCAGTCCAATCATCATCATCAGTCCATTAGTTAATCTGGTCAATCTTTATATTGTATAGCTATATACTCGTAATATCTGTTAAAATAATGCCATACCAGTTAGATAGAAAAATCTAAAGTAATGTGAAATTAATATTTATAACATCTATTCAAGGTTATGGATAATGCATTTGGAAATTTAGAATCATTATCAGCTTTAATGAATGAGTTCTTCAGTTTATATCCTGGAGCAAAATATGCATATTCTATCGCATCAGCATTAAGTGGAAAATATGGATTACATCAATATAGCGGAACTTGTCCTGTTACTCCTAACTGCAAGTGGATACCGTACTTTCAAGGGGTCTTCTTCTGTCATGGACCTGTGAAGGTTCATTTTGATGTTCAAAGTTCTTACCAACATTATTGTACCATGGAGGTATACAATAATGATACTGGTATTCAAATGCCTCAAGCCTTCAATTCTCATATTACTTTTGATTTCCAACCTAATGCTCATGGGTAAGTATTGATTTACAATTTGTTTTAAATATATCAATGCGTTTATATTATTGTGTTAGGAATTAACAGAAATTATAGAACTGACTACATAGTATATCACCTATTAAAATTAAATTGAACATTTATTTTACTCCTCAATACTGTTAAATTGCAAATAATAATTTTTAATTATGTCTCCAACATTCCATTTATTTATCCATTTCTATTTCACTTATTGCTTTTGTTGTTCCCGCATGTTTTCTCTCTCTCTCTCTCGCAAACATTTATGTTTCCCTTTCACGCAATGTTTCACTTCAAGCATCAATCTATATAATCCTATCAACTCATTTAAATGTACTGATGATTTTTACTAATACGGAATTAAGGAAGCCTATAAAAATTTAAACTTACTTGGATAGAAAGTTACGTATATTTGAAGAACTCATTCTTCGCCCACACATGTCTAAAACATTCAAGTATGTACGCTTCCCATTTTTAGCCACATGCCTAGTCGTAAAAGTGTTTTGATAAGGATCTGGTCATATAGAAAATCATTGAGAGTACCAGTACCTAAGAGAGCTTTGATGGAATGGTTGAACTAAATTAATGAGACTTCTAATTGCATCTTTCAAGTGCATTCAGTAGTCATCGAGGAAGTATTGAAAAAATATTTTTGGAACCAGAAAGATATTCTAATTTTGGTCCACACTGGTATTATAAATACGAAAATGTGTCTGTCTCGCTTTTATCTGATTACTATATTCACAACTAAACGGCTACACGGATCTTTATGATTGATACGATGATATACTGTATCACAAAGACGTTTACTGAATTTAAAACAAGCTGATGAACTCGCGGAAAATAGCTGGTAATATTGTAAATACAAAAGGAGGTTTGTTTGTTTGTCACACTGTCACATATTGACCATTATCACTTTGGTTTTTGACAAAATAGATGTTTAAAAATACATTTGGAGAAAAAAAGCATAGACTAATTTTATCCCTATCAAACAAATCAAATAAAAATACCTTTATTCATGTAGGTATATTACAGACTCTTATGATATGTCAAATCTATTGTCAGTTCGAAGTGCTTTCAATCTTAACTCAGTTGTTGTTCTCTTCAAATGGGCTTATAAGTCCTCAAGACATACATATTAATTTTTTAATTCTATAAGGTATATCCTAGTGATCACCAGCGTATGCTATTGGTTTTCATTAAATGCAAATTATTTAATCAGGAGCCGTAACCCGAACTGATCAGTATTGGTCTTGGTCATGTCAGTAATATTGTTTATACTTATAATGGATCTTTTAAAACTAAAATTTATTTCCTCTTTAGTTACACAGTTATAGGCCATGGAATAGTTGGCCGACCAGTTCGGTATAATCACGATGTACATTGGCAGTTGACAGTACTAAGTAGTACCGATGGATTATTCCACGTTTGTGATAACGAATTAGATTTCTGCAAAGAAGTAGCACTACCATCTGCCAGCAAACTGCATGTCGATGAAATATTTATTCCTAATAGAAGAAATATTCTCGGTGGTATCCAAATATCTGTAACGAAGTATGAAGCTGTTAGTTTCAGAGCTGCGGCCACATCGCCTGATGTTAGTATATTTTAAAATCATTATTAAATGTCTTTATATCAATTGTTAAGTAATACAACTTTACAACTTTTAACTTTACAGCTTACAACTTTATTTAGCTTGGTGTAAAAGAAATATGTTCGTATTTTGAAACAGACTTCAAATATGATTCTATATTAACCTGTCTGGTGTTTAAAATGCTTGTCATATGTCGTTCATAGTCTTTTGCGGTTACATCTTTCCCTTATGTATGCTCTCAGTTTTTTTGCCATTCTAGCTACAGAAATTAAATTAATGCAACCTCTTAAGAAGTTCTTGTATCTTTATTTTTTGCAGCTAGAAATGGAAGTTGTACTACGTACCAAAACTGAAGGAGTCGTGGAAGAACTGGCCAGGTATTCAGGAAAAGGTGAAGTCTACTGGCCATACATACGCTTGGATCCATCACCACCGCCACTCATGACGACTAAAAGACACTCTGCGTCTCATGCTAATTTGGGCTCGGTTAATTGATCTTCTTTATACAATATTAATAATTATAATGACCAGTATAAGTAAATCCCCGCAGGGGGTAGTCAGAGTATTTTAATGGATATAAGATAGGCCTGTTATATAGTGCGTTCACCGTAACATCGACAGTTGATAATGATACTTTTTATGGCATTGTTTTCTCATTCTCTATTTTATCTCAGCACAACCTATGGGTTCCTTGGTAAAAAATGCAGTAAGGTGTTAAATCCGTTACATATATACTTTTAATTTGGTAAAATGTCTCTGACTAACTCCATTTGAACTATTCATAATTTGAATCCCGAGCATATAGCTGACTTAAATTTATTTATTTTGTATATTTTAGGTTAATCGAGACTCGGCATTTTTAAGTGCCCGTTCACTGAAGCCTGCAAAATTAGGAAAATCATCTGGGAGGAATAGATCAACAACTAAGGTAACTTATTCATATATAATATAGTTTATCATAGGTTTAGTTGCGTAACAATAGGTATGTATTATTATAAATATAACGAATAATGGTTGTAATCTTTATATATATAATTCTTCTGTACATGAGTTTGTCCCCTGATTCTTAATAAACATCTGGACTGATTGGGATATAATTATGTGTGTATATTTCAATGTGTTCCTAACAGGGTCCTCCACACTCTGCTAGAAGTGATTAGAGCCTCAGGGCTAGTACCTTTAGCCCGGTATCAACTCCGGGAGTAACAACCCCAGAGGAACTCGGTTCTACTAGGGTTTTTATCCTTTTTAAATTATTTTTTAAGATTTAATGAGCTCCGGGATATTTTAATAATACAAATGGACCACGTAAGTGGCTCTACTTTTCTAGTCCGCTAGTAGTTTGATAACAATTATTACTTTAAATTGTATATTTCTAATAGTGATAAATAAATTATAATTTTAGATGAAAATGGCTCCACCTGAACCAAAACAATATTATATCGAGTAAGTGATATTTATTATTTTTCTCTTATATTTAATTTTTATCTGCGTGGGTACATCAGTCTCATCTATTTCGCCGCCAAGCGAATTACTTTATAAGCTGTGTTTTTGCCTTTTGATATTATCGACTTTATTACCCGTAAAATATACATATTTCTATTATTGATTATACCTATCTGTTTATATTACTTTGGGTATTTATTTTTCGCACAATTGTTTACATATTATAAGAAGTGCAGATTGCTATTTTTTTTTATAATGCATTAAAACATGACCATATATTTGAAATACACACATATATACTCTTTTGTCTATTGTTAAAGTCTGTGGACAAATTGAGAAATAGTATTTTGACAATAGAACCTTAATAATGTTAAAAGTTATAATTTAAATTTGTTGTGGTCTAATTTCGACCACTGGCCATTAAACATGTAATAATGTCTGTTAGAGTGATTGCGACAAACGGCTGGCCTTTAACACTAGCACAGTGGAAAAGAGTGGACGAAGTACGGAACTCGCTCGAATTGTGTAAATTGGATGCACCTATCAAAAAGTCAATGAAAGAAAAGGTTGGTTGCTTATTAAAAGTTTTTATAGAAAAACTTTAAATCCATAGCACTGACAATATTATCTGATTACACTAATAATGAGTGCGTAGCGATTTCTATGTTGATTATCCCATGCCTCTTTTTTGTTATACTGTAATTATTTATATAAAAATACATCTATTAAAAAGAGCAACACACAAGTTTGTTGCTCATTCTTCTTGTGATGAATCTGCATTCCGAATGAGTGGTAGAATCAAAATATGACTATTTAAAAGTGCTTGTAATGAGTTTATTTGAATAAAGATTATTTCTATTTCTATTTCAATTATTGTTACCTAATACTATTTTTTTTATATTAAAAGGTTTGGGCCATTATCAGGTGCTTGGAATGTAGTACTGCGACCTATAAATCTATTGTGCTCGCCCTGTTCAGAGTTCGCTACCTAGACCCGTCAGGGACAAGAATTGAAGGATATTCTTAGGAGTGATGGTTTTTATCTCCTCAGGATAGAGTGTAAACTTTCCAAAGGAGATATTTCGTTTATGCTTGAGTGGGCTACAACCAGTAGTGACAAACGCATTAATTATAATAAATTCTTTACCTTTTTTTATTATTATAATTATATTTCAAATGCCTCGGTGGTCTAACGGTTTAGCTTACTACTTTACTTCAAATGAACGTGGGTTCGAAACTTCGCACGGTTCAAATATCCGTATTTTTGTATGACTTATATGTAAAATTAGAAAAAATCTGGGGTTTTTACCACGTTTTACTTGGCGGAAAACAATTGGAAACACTGGCGAAATATCAAGAACTCAATAAAAATAAACAAAACATAAGATTGAGATTGAGATTACATAAATTTTCCTAATTTTTAGTACGATTGTTTGTACGGTCTGGGTGTTTTTATGTACATTAATTTATTTATTTATGTCATACTAAGTGAGCTTTACAGTCTACCAATATGCCTACTTAGGAAGATAAAATACACTAATTACACAAGGAAACAAATGAAAAAAAATATATATATCTAATCTTAATTTAACATACTACCTAAATAACCTACTGCCATTCTACGAAACTCCAGCAAATTACAAGTAAATATGTCTAGATCTGGAAAGCGACTAACTACACCTTGGAGTAGACTCAATGCCAGAGAATTAGGAGCCTGTTTGGCCAGCTCTGTTCTTTTCCATGGAACATCAAACAAGTTTAATTATTAAGTTCTATTTACAAAAAAATAGTATTTAAGCATCAGTTGTATAGTACTCGCAAGCTCGGCTTAGCTTGGGAATAACTCAATAACTCAAATAAACTGATTACAGCCAGGTTCAGCTAAAGATAAGGATAAAGATAAACCTTATTCAGTACCACCAGTCTATCAACCACAACCAGGCGATGCATATACTGAATTGGAGTGTTCTGTAGCCGTTAGCGGAGGAGCGTACTGCAGGCGTGATGATGAGAGGGATCTGGAATTTGCAGCAGCAAGACGAGCTTGGGATGCAAAGGAACCTGGAAGAAATCAGAGAGGTGCTCAGATAAGGTAATTTCTTAATTTACTATATAACATAGGAGAGCTTAATCTTGAACTGGTGTATTACTAGGTACCGCAGCTACCCAGTCAGAGATGGAAAAATCGTGACTTCATATCTGGTCGACATCAAAACGTTGTGTGTTAATTTATATATATGAGTGACTTTCCGGTGACGGAAACATGGCTAAGAAGTCAAATCAATTGTTAATGATAAGATTTTTTCAATATTTTTCATTGGAGCTCGATTTATATTGATCGCAGCGTGATGATATATAGCCTGTAACGTTCTTTGATAAATGGGCTATGTGATTCTAAAACAATTTTTAAAATTAGTTCAGTAGATCCAAAGAAGGGCTAACCCCTACATCCTCACAAACTTTACCTCTTTATAATATTAGTGCTTGTTAGGGAAAATACTATATGTGGAAGCGTCTGTCTTACCTGTATACCCTTGATATGGTTTCTTGGGTTTCTTAACACGGGCCAGCGTCCAGGTAATATTTTCACTAGTTTTCACACACTGTTGCACTGTGTTTGTAATCAATTTTATTATAAGTAGGTAACGTGCGGACGCAAGGCGGTCCGTATTGTTATAAGGGACGAAAGTGGTTGGACAAAAACTTACAGGCTCTAATATATATAATAATTTATGCTTACAACGGGTATAGGGTAGATTTTGAACAGTACTATATAGATAAAACATCTATTTTATTTTGAACAGGAAAGAATTCCGCTCCGAGTTTCTAGAAGCCCTACCACCGCCGCCCTCTGAAAGCGTATATACAATAGAGGTAACTTAAATTCATTCCGTCTTTATGAAATGATACATTCTGATGATGTGATGATAAATTTATTCTTTCTTGACGGCCTCGGTGGTCTACCGGTTACACCGGTTTACTTCCGAAGGTAGCCGGTACGATTCCTCGCACGGTGCAAACATTTGTATTCCTGAGTATGATTGTTTGTATCGGTCTCGATGTTTTTAACATTATATGTATCATGGAGATATATGTATGTATATTATGTGAAATATATCATTAATGCACATATGCTGCACAGTGTACTATTTGTCTTTTTAATTATGGGCTCTCAAACACCTCTGTTCTCACTCGCCGTTCACAGCTTAATGCTCTCATGACGCCAGCAGTGTGCGCTAGAGACGACATAATGCTTCCTTCTCTTTCCCTCATATACTACAGTCAGTCAACCAAAATTAATTGGCAAAATTTATATTACCGACAGTGAAGCTACTGGTGCTTTATAATGGTATATAATAAATAAATTGCAGGAAATGTTTGGTGAAGAATATGGAGAGGGGGAAGAAAGAAGTAAGTTGCTCTTAATTTAATGATTAATTGGTTGGTTGGTTACCTCTTCATCTGCGACATATAAAGCCATCTCCATTTTTAATAGATATAGTTTATATTTATATATCTCATGCTGTGTTTGTAATCATTACATAATATAAAACCAAGTCGCTGTCGCTGTCTCTCCGTCCTTATGTATGCTTAAATCTTTAAAACTACGCAACGGATTTTGTAGAGGCTTTTTTTAATAGATAGAGTGATTCAAGAGGAAGGTTTATGGGTATAATACATGTATAACTGGGGCGAGTAACTAGTAAATCAATAAATTTTAATAATCACTTTTATACAGTCTACAATAAGGGAAACCTACCTTTATTGTGGATAACATAATAGTGATTTTAAAATAAAACTCCCTGCAACATTGTCCTTTTTAATATATAGAGTGATTCAAGAGGAAGGTTTATATATATAATACATGTACACCCGTGCGAAGCCGGGGCAAGTAGCTAGTCAGTAAATAAAGCATTTATTATTTATCTGTCTATACATGTCTTAACTTAATGACGCCCTCGGTGATCTAACAGTTGAGCATCTTACTTCTGACAGTTGCGGGTTCGATTCCTCGCACGGCAGAAATATTTGTATTCATGAGTAGGCCAACAAGAGCTGAAATATCTGAGACTGAGGCACCCACGCAGACGACTTTTTATAGTAAAGTATGGCCGCTTGAATTGTGTAAATATCTGGATTTATATTACATTTTAACAGAAAATAAATATTTTTTATCTGTATTTATGTCAGAGGATCTCCAGCAACAAGCCCAGCAAGGCCCCACACCGGTCTCTGAGAGTGCACGTAAGTGTTTTTTTTTATTTTATATTATGGGACAACAATTGCCTAGATTGTATAAAATAATTGTATCAGCAATACTTGAAATTATACATATAAATAAAATTGGAAGAGTTACTTTCGCATTATTAGTAAGTACTATTTTTGGACAATGAGTATTTCGAATGGTATTATTTTGTTTATATATATTTGTTTATCTACATATATAAATAAAATTGGAGTGTCTGTTTATAATATTGAAACAACATGCATATATAAATACGGTATATACATAAAAATAACATTTTTAAAAATTTTTGTCTATCTGTCTGTCTGTCTGTTCCGGTTAATCTCTGAAATGGCTGGACCGATTTTGCCGGGATATTTCTTGGCAGGTAGCTGATGTGATAAAGGGTAACATAGCCTACTTTTACTTTAGAAAATATGTTTTATTTTAGAAACATAAAGCGTACGAAGTCGCGGGACCAGCTAGTCATATTTAAATAGTTTTAAGAACTATTGTATATATATGAATTAATATAGATATATAACCTTAGTTAAGTCCCTTTTGAATTTGTTTTTTTTTTGCACAATAAAGTTATTATTATTTTAAAAAAGAAAACAGTCCACAATGAAATATTTCTTTAATTTCCAGTACTTGAGATGACAGTCGAGAGTGAAAAAGAGGCAAAATACATACTCATGCCCGAGCAATTGAGAGACAAATTCATACCATTACATTTCTTACCATTTTGCACTAAAGAGAAAATAGAAGACAACAGGTAAGATTTATTAAAAGTAATAAAGAATCATCATAATAACAGCGACAGAAGTAGATTTGCTGTATAATCATTTAAATTTATCTGTATAGTATGAAATATCTTTTCTTGACTTCTTTTCTGTTTTGTTGACTTTAATAAAGTTTTTTATTATTAAAACTAGCTACTCACCCCGGCTTTGCCCGTGTGTACATCTGTTATATATATTTATAAACTTTTGTATGTGATGTTTGCTCTGGTCAGGTGTTCCACAGGAATTATATATGCTCATTCGCAGGTTACCCGCGATTGGCCGATTAATTAACGTTCGATTGATAGATGCGTAGACAGCATTCCTCTAGAATGACTCTATCTATAAAAAAAACTGCTCCAAAATCCGTTGCGAAGTTTTAAAGATTTAAGCTTACATATGGACGGACATAGTAGCTAGTAACAAATAAACCAAAGTATATATGCGTGGGTGTGTAAAATACATGCTAGTGTTTGTAATGTTTTGTTTTGGCGTAATACTTCATCATTTCTTACTTTATTTTTCCAGCTAATTGTTTCTATCCTTCTCTAACACGGCATTTTATATGCTTCCAGTTTGTCCCTTCCTTTTTCAGCTAATGTGAACGTTAGATGCATACAAAGCTATACACCAAATGCAGGTCTTAAAAACTCTTTCTCTATATAAACTATAAGTGTGCGAAATTTCATACTCATACTGCTCCGTCCGCCCAATGTTCTTAAACTGAGTTTTTGCTTCGCCTATTAATTTTCAAACAAAATACCACGATCCGATTGATCCTCCGTCCAATTTAAACGGAGATCAAAATTACGACGGCCTAAGTCGAGGTTGTTCGGTCGTTCGGTCGAGTCGGTTCCTAACCTAACCGAATCTATGACGATGACTCAAAGACTCAAAGTCGTATCCGTCTGGCTGGAGTTGGCCTTCATTCTCTTCATAAATTCTTCCACGGAGAACCAATGGAGAGATGATTAGGTGAGTATGAAGGTAGATAGCCTATCGTAGCAAATTCATAAGGAATTTATCACGATGGTATCCAGGGCGAATGGCGTGATCAACCTAACATGGTACATTGCTAGCTATAAGGTCATCAATCCACGTTATTAATATTTCGTTAGTCCAGTGGGGTGGTTTTCAATACACCATCGTTTAATAACCTCTTCTTCATATTTTAGTGTAATATTAACACCAGATATGTGTGAAGCAGCCAAGAAAGACCGACATGCACGTATAGAAGCCGCTCTAGACCGCATGAAAGAATTACAAATGTATAACGAACTGTATGTATTGGGCCGGCAGAAGAGAAGATGTCATCTCCTTGAGAAATTATTTGTTGGTGAGTTTCTTTTTTATGGCGCACGAATGGCAAACAACTGCACCCCAGGCCTACTTGATGGGTCAAGGGTCTTTTATGGGAATAAGTATCATGCATTGATAGATAGATAGATAGATAATTGATTTATTGCCAACATAACACAAATAATACAATTTACAATAAGACACAAAACAAGAAATAAATAATAACATGGAAGTTGGCAATAGGAGCTGCCTCAGCTGTTGCTGATATAAGCACAACCTTAGTGAGGTGCACCTATACAGCGCTGGTTTTCAGGCAGCCCCCATTACTCATAAAAAAAAAAAACTAAGATGCGGGTTTTTTACTACATACAGATACATATAATTTAAACACAAAAAAAAAAATATATTAAATAAGATCTAGGATACACAAATATAAATATATATAGAATGTATTACAATATTCAATGCTCACAAAAACCGAAATCAGTTACAATAACAGTATCAAAATAAAAAACAATAAAATAAAAAAAAAAATAATAAAAAATGCAATTGCATGCATGTCACGTGTGAATCCGTATGGATATTATTATTATTTATGTATTAATTTGTTAAATTTTTATTTCATTATGTTGTGGTATTGTTATCTAGCACGTGTGATTAGGTACGCCTGCGTAGGTACAAACTCAGCTATTGCTGGACTGATGGGCGTCCAGCGCTGGTTTTCAGTTTGTACCTATTGCCAATCATGTTAAATATGTATAAATGTGTAACTGTGTAACTGTGCTGATGTTGGCAATAAATGGATTTATTATTATTATTAAAAAAAAAGTATAAAAAAATATAATAAGATACTAATAGGTCAGAATGCTTCCAATAGCCGTGGTCAGGTTTGCGCAGTGAATATTTGTGATCTCACACATGCTAATGATAATAGAATTAAACAAATAAATCTATAATTAAACTATAAATTGGATGATCCGCAATAAAACTCATATTTCTATAAAATAATAGAACCATAGTGTATATTTAATATTTCTATCAATAGTTTAGTGTCTATAGTACAAGCTTTGCTTAGCTTAGGACCTGATGGCGCTTTGTGAATTGTCCTGGGTTATTACTATTATTGTTATGAACTACAGATTCGCAATGGAATCCAGAATTAGCTGACGTTCTAGACGAAAGAGACGAGGCTATTGTTAGAGAAACTCTCAACGGGACACTATCAGCTACTAAGAAAAAACAAGAGGGAAAGAAGAAGTAAAATAAAGTTGCAAATATTAGGATTTGTTTTAAGAATATTGTTTATTTAGAAAGTGTTATTATGATTATTAATTAAATTTTCAACATATTCAATTTTATTAATTTATTAAAATTCAAAAATTTCAACACACTCCTTAGGTTAACAGCTTCGATGGTCTAGCGGTTTAGCACACTTTATCTTTACTTCCGATGTTCGCGGGTTCGATTCCTCCTACGATGCAAACATTTCTCTTTGTGAATATAATTATTGGTATAGGTCTGGGTTTTTTCTATGTATATTATGACATTTACAAAAATATAACAATATGTATGTCAGTTATCTAGTACCCATAACAAGCTCTACTCAGTTTGGGACTAGATGGCGTTGTGTAAGTGGTCTTTATATGTTATTATTGTATAATAATTGTCCGGGGTTATTATTATAAATATAAATAAAACTATTTAAAAGGCTTTTCAATTATTTACACATAACGAAAATTTTCCTAAAGTAAATTAATGTTTCAATAAAAAACATGTCTGCTTCTATAAACGTTGCTATATAGATCACAATTATGGACATACCGAATTTTTGTGACAATATTTTAATGCACATTACATTAAAATATTATTCATTTATTTAACTTTAATATATACAATATAAATGGAAATTTTCACCGAGAGGATGGCTTAAATGTATCATCTGTGTGGTGATAATAAGTTCAAAGTTCAGTAGCTACAATCAGTAATTGTACAGATACGAGTTTTTTCTAGTACCATCACTAGAATGCCCAACGAAAAGCCTGAATGTGATATTTCGTTGGGCAAAAAAATTTAATGTTAAAAGTTCCTGGCAGCTACCGACATTAACACCTGACCGTATATCTACATATATAAATAAAATTGGAGTGTCTGTTTGTAATATTGAAATAACCGTTCTTACTACATGCATATGAATACAAATACAATACATACACCAAAATAACAATTTTTACAATTTTTGTCTGTCTATCTGTCTGTCGGCTAATCTCTGAAATGGCGGGATTCTTCATTACAGTTATGTTTTGTTTGTCACATTTATCTATTGTGACAAACAAAACACACACTCTATGAAGTGTCTGTTTGTAATATTGAAATAACCGTTTTTTACTACATGCATATGAATATAAATACGGTACATATACCAAAATAACATTTTTTGTCTGTCTGTCTGTTCCGGCTAATCGCTGAGACGGCTGGACCGATTTTGACGGGTCTTTTATTGGCAGGTAGCTGATGTAATACGGAGTAACTTAGGCTACTTTTATTTTAGAAAAATTCTTTTAGAATAATAAAGTTAAATTCCATGCGGACGTAGTCGTGGGTACTAGTTATAAGTATAGTTAAACGAGCTTTAATTCGTGACCACGGTTAGTGCAACCTAATCGAAATGTCGAGAGAGATAAATATCTTTATTTAGCGTATTTTTCATGTTAAGAACCAGTTTATAACATAAATAATAAAGGTAATAAGATTCAGTCTGAAGTATAAATTGACATTCGTCCTGGTTTTGGTGTTCGCCAGATTTGAACTCCCTATCGGAGTTTATAAGTAAGTGTAGTTAGCTACTATGCTACCATGCTCTCAAATGTAAAGAGGAGAGAAAATTTATTTAATAACTATAAGTAAGGATCTTAAACATGTAACCTGAAAATCATCTCTAAATTAACTACTCACTAACCAGAAATCAATATACAGTAAATTATGAAGGTACCAAAGTCTGTCTAACTAACATTCAAAGTGTCAAAAGCGGAGATAAGTTGGGAATAGTTACAGTATTACGTAACCTCAAATATAACAGGATGATGATCTGGATGGAGTAGCGGTTTGAGTCAACTTTTGATGGTCACAAGTTCGATCCCTGTAAAATATAAGCATTGTTAGTTCCTTGAATGTGAAATATGATTGATGAATTCTTGTTTTTTTTTGGGTAGTTTATTATGTGTAATGTTTTGACATTACTTTGTTAATACAATGTGCAATTTATAGTGCTGTACATATAAGATTATGTATACTTAAGCGATATTTGCCACTCACTATCATGTGGGTAGTTAGTTTGTTTACCATTTGAATTACATAAATAAAATATTGCCTAGCAAAAAAAAATATTTTATATATCAATTTATATTTCTGAATCCCCAATGAAGAAAACACCGATAACAAACAAAAAAAACCGAGAGCAGTACGCTGCCACGTTACATTTAAATATCTTCAGCGAAACGAGAGTCATTATGTGGCATCCTTAGGTAACTTATGCGTTCACAATAAGGGACTAAGATGTTTTGGATCAGTATAATTTTACTATCATACCTGACCCTACAGCCGAAACATATCTTACAAAAGAAGCTGAAATGTGGGTGAAAGATGAGACAAAGGTAATCGTAGATGACTTTGTACAGGCTACCTCTGGTAAATTCGAACTCACGACCTTTCTCCAAGTCCACTTAGTAAACACTAGATCACATGCTCTCTATGTCAAATCTGTCATTTTATTCATAAAATCAGTAAATATTATTATACAAGCATATGTAAAATTGGAAGTTATGCAAAACATAGTGCTGCAGCAAACAGTAATAAAAACGTTTCGGCCGCCGAAATGGAATGGAGTGAGTCAGAAATCCAATAACACTAGTGATCCGTGTAGATTTTGCGAGACTAAGGATTATGATAGAATACAATGGTCGCAGAAGGCAAACATAAACTCACATCTGTCTCCATAGTATTATCTTTAATCTAGTGATTTATATTGTTACTCAAGTGACTATATCTATGTCAACGTTGGTATTTAGCAGTTTGTATTCACACAAAATTCTTAAAAAATCTGAACAACATCTACTTTGAAGAACGCTTGGTCTTGTTCGTTCTTCTTGTGATGAGTCTGTGTGATCAACATTTATTTATAAGAGCAACACGCAAGTTTCTTTTTTATTCTTCTCGTTATGAGTCTGTGTAAACAACATTCATTTAAAAGAGCAACACGCAAGTTTCTTTTTCATTCTTCTTTTGATGAGTCTGTGTGATCAACATTTATTTATAAGAGCAACATGCAAGTTTCTTTTTCATTCTTCTGTTGATGAGTCTGCATTCCGAATAAGTGGTAGAATCAAAAGAATATGACTATTCAAAAGTGCTTATATTAATTTTATACCTTTCATGATTACCTTCTTCACCAGTCCTGTTCATGTCAATGTTCTGTGTATATCTAGTACCCATAACACAAGCTTTAGCTAGCTTAACTTGGGTCTAGATGGCGCTGTGTGAATTGTCCTGAGATTATTATTATTATTATTATAAATGATTTTTATAATAATGATACATGGACAAGAGATAAATGGTATCACGGGTGTACTGTTCATATAGGCGACGGTTACCGTTTACCATCAGGCCGCCAGCTTGTTATTGCTTCATTTAATGTTAGACATAGACACCTATATAAATACCTATGCATTGTAAATAAACCGGATTTAAAAAAAAAGTAATTCAATTGAGTTTCTTGCCAGTTCTTCTCAATTGGATCTATATACCGAACTGGACGTAATGTAAAAACTTGATGTTCATAAGCGGCTAAAATGTCCTACATGAATAAATGATTTTTGTTAGTAGTTGTAGATTGCAATTACATCCATTGTAACGATTTATGAACTACATCTCTACTTTTTAATGTAAATGAAGCCTTGTTGCTTGTACGTTTGAAAATTTGGTTATTGTCGTAACATGAAAGTTACTTGGGAACTCTGCTAAGTACAGCCCATAAGCCCTGATAGCGTTCTCCAGTGTCAACTGTCAGGTACTAAGTGATATTTTATGGGACCAATAATTTGCCTAATGGATTCATAAACAGTCACCCCTAACTTAAATAGTGGGGCCAGTTGGGGCGCCATTTTTGTCCTATCGGCAAATTGAACTGCAAATGAGTGTCCATTTTTAAACGATAATATCAAGAAAGGTATTCTCGATTTTTTTACTGGTCTGCAGTGTTTTTATTTGACAACCGATTTTGAGTATTATTTCGTCGTTTTAGCAAAGCCTATTACTCACTAAACGATTACTTGAATGATGAGCGTGCATGGCAATAGTTGTTCCGGTTCATGTACCGGATTTTCATTTAATGTTAGACAGACACCTATATATTGTAAATAAACTGGCTTTAAAAAAAAAGTAATTCAATTGAGTTTCTTGCCAGTTCTTCTCAATTGGATCTATATACCGAACTGGACGGTGGGGAAAAAATATAATGTAAAAACTTGACGTTCATAAGCGGCTAAAATAACATACATGAATAAATGATTTTTGATTTTTTTTAATTTCGTAATTTATATGAATGATGAATTGTTGAAGATTTATGAAAAAAAAATATATTTATATATATTTACTACAATATTTTTTTTTGTTTCTATTATCTGTAGTCCCCAAATTAGGTCATACCTGTATTTTGAGGGCTGGGAGCACTGAAACCAAAAATATGCAATTGTGTTATCTATACATATATATATATAAAATTCGAGTGTCTGTTTGTAATATTGAAATAACCGTTTTTTACTACATGCATATGAATATCAAAACGGTAGGTACACCATAATAAAATTTTTTACAATTTTTATCACTCTGTCTGTCTGTCTGTTCCGGCTAATCTCTGAGACGGCTGGACCGATTTTGATGGGACTTTTATTGGCAGGTAGCTAATGTAATAAGGAGTGACTTAGGCTACTTTTATTTTAGAAAAATAAAGATAAACTCCACGCGGACGAAGTCGCGGCTATAGATAATATTAATAAGAAATAACCCTGGACAATTAATACAGCGAAATCAAGCTAATCCCAAGCTAAACAAAGCTAGTGTTATAGGGATTCGAGAACTGATAGAAATACTTTTTTTTTAAATACATACATATTATACATAGAAAACACCCAGACGGATACAAACAATCATACTCATGAATACAAATGATTGCTCGTGCGAGGGCTCGAACCGCCGACCTATAGTGAGTGACTTATCCCCTCTG